GCAGAATAAGAGCATTTGCTAAATGACTAAAATGTTATTTGTGAAATAAACTTGGGGATGTGTGGTGGTATTTCTGTGACAGTGGCAATTTCCTTAAACACATAGACCGTAATGACAATTTATTAACGAACCTGCAAATTACTAGAGTTGAAAGCATGTTGTGCACAATGGGAGTAATTCACAGTATTACCTCTAACCTATAAGAACAACAGTCACTCATAAGAAAATCTGGGCCAAGAGGGCTGAAGACATACTCTAGGTTGTGTCCCAAATGACACCCTATTATAGTGCACTACTTTTGACCAGAGCCCTACAGGCCCGGGTAAAAAGTAGGGAATAGGATGCCATTTGGAACATAGACATACAAAGAAAAGCATAGAGAAAGGCAAAAGAAAGTGGATATTGTGCCAAGAGGAATGAAGACAGTACGACAGCACTCTGTGTGGGATTTCACTTTAGATCGTGATCCTGGAGGGATATGTGGAAACACAACTGACATGACGTGTGTGGAGCTGGCGTTTTTATTCAATATAACTAAAGTAAAGACCAATTTAGCCACCAATCTACCCTAAACAAATCCTTGAGGAGGTACTGCCTCGGAGTCTGAAGCAAAGCTTTACCTTTGTAGCTCACACTTCTCCAACACCATGAAGTAAAGCGCTGTCTGTTTATGTGCCTCTAGCCAGCACAAAGTATAAAGAATATGCCACAGTAGTGAAAGGGAGAGATGACAGAGATGGAGAAACCCTTCACCCGAGACCCACTACAAATTGCATACCGCCCCAACAGAGCCACGGACAACGCAATCGCCATTGCACTGCACACTGCCCTATCCCACCTGGACAAGAGAAATAGCCATGTAAGAATGCTGTTCATTCACTACAGCTCAGTCTTCAACACCATAGTGCCTTTCCTGTGCAACTGGGTCCTAGACTTCCTGAAGGGCCAACCCCAGGTGGTGAAAGTAGGCAACAACACCTCTGCCACGTTGATCCTCAACACAGGGGCCCCACAGGTGCACGTGCTTAGCCCCCTCCTGTACTCCCTGTTCACCCATGACTGTGTGGCCACACACGTCTCCAACTCAATCATCAAGTTTGCTGACGACACAACAGTGGCAGGCCTCATTACCAACAATGACGAGACAGCCTACAGGGAGGAGGTGAGAGCCTTGACGGAGTGGTGCCAGGAAAAATAACCTCTCACTCAATGTCAACAAAAATGAAGGAGTTGATCGTGGACTACAGGAGACAGCAGAGAGAGCATGCCCACTGTAGTCGCAGTGGAGAGGGTCAAAAGCTTCAAGTTCCCTCGGCATGCACATCACTGAGGACCTGAAATGGTTCCTCCACACTGACGCCGTGGTGAAGAAGGCACAACAGTGCCTCTTCAACCTCTGGAGGCTGAAGAAATTCAGCTTGGCCCCTAAGACCCTCACAAACTTCTACAGATGCACCATTGAGAGCATTCTGTCGGGCTTTATTGTCGCCTGGTATGGCAACTGCACCGCCCGCAACCGCAGGGCTCTCCAGATGGTGGTACGGTCAGCCGAATGAATCACCAGGGGCACACTGCCTGCCCTACAGGCAATCTACAGCACCCAGTGTCACAGGAAGGCCAAGAAGATCATCAAGGACCTCAGCCACCTGAGTCACGGCCTATTCACCCTGCTACCATGAAGCAGGTGGAGACAGTACAGGTGGGACAGTGTCTGAAAAACAGCTTCTATCTCCAGGCCATTAGACTGGTGAACAGTCATCACTAGCCGGCCTCCGCCCGGTATCATGCCCTGCACCTTAGACACTGTCACTAGCCGGCTACCACCTGGTACTCTACCCTGCACCTTAGACAATGTCACTAGCCGGCTACCACCTGGTACTCTACCCTGCACCTTAAGGCTTGCACACATCGCATCGAATGTGGATCTAGCCTTTGTCTGCCGATCGTTCAGCGTGCTGTGTTTTAGTGAACACTCTCTGTAGACGTCTGACTGACAACATTTTTCAAGCGATTCTACATGTAAAATTGGTGCGCACACGGTGTGCAAATTACATTCAGAGGTGGTAAGTACCCTCGCCCAGCAAACGCTATTGATGTCTGAGCCCTTAGAGACTGGTCACTTTAATAATGTTTTCATAATGTTTGTTCTGAAATCATTTCTGTAGTTAGAAACGGATAAGATTAGCACTCCTGCAACATTCATTTGTTGAAATTTTATTTGATCTGAGAAATTAAGCTAATTGATTACTCACTTTATATGTCCATGCCATATTCTCAACATAGCTCATCCTATATAACTACTGCTGTACATACCTTTTCCTGCTTAAATATTGTCCATACTGTCTATACACACCACGTATTTATATTCCGGACTCTGATTTTGCTCGTCCTGATATTTCTTAACTTCTTGAGGGTGGGGAATTATTTGTGTATTAGTACTGTACTGTTAGACACTTACTGCACTGCTGGAACTAGACACAAACATGTTGCTGTACCTGCTTTAACATCTGCTAAACGAATAAACTTTCATTTGATTTGAAAGCATTGGAGAATGGGGGTGAAATTTACTTGATATCTATTAACATTCTTATAACCACTCACTTAAAGGAAAGGTTCACCCATTTTGAATGTTATATTGTTTTTGTGCATCCGAGTGATGTTCCATCGATTCCCTGAGTCATTTCATGTTTTCACGTGTATCTGAGTTTTTTCCGTTCAAGCAGGTAGAAATCCGTCCAGTACGATGTAGTACTGTGATAAAGTCGCTCTCACTACACTGGAAGTTAATAGGAATACGACTTTTAGATCGCGAAAACTTCTATCATACATGTCAGATTTCAATACTGGTCGATATCATAACGTGTTCTCTCAAATGAGCCACTGATCATATTTTTGCGATATTCCTACCTCGAGAAATGTGTACTTTAACGGAGGGTCTAGAACATTTTTCCTATTTGTCTGCCTCTTTAGTCCAGGGTGCATTGCATGGTACCGTTGCCAGAGACATTATAGAAAGGACATTGGAATCCAATGAATGAAGGAACATATAACGCACCACCCAGCAGACTGTCGACCAATCGTGTTCACGAAAGTACGTAATGTCACGATTCCAAAGCTATACAATATTACAGATAGCAAGTTAATTATCTCACATCTCGGAAAAAAATTGTAATGTTGAACTTCTTGTTGACTAAATTTGTGCTAATGTTGGGTATTTGAGCTAGCGCCCAATAGACTCCCATTCGCTCCTTGTCCCAGAATCACCCAGAATGCACCGCGCAGCCCATTGACGTAGCATGGGCAACGTTTCCTCATCTCCTCAAAAGCATATCTACCATTGCGAATGTCAGACTCCAGTCTGTGAGGCACCTCAATCTGCAGGTTGAACATGGTGTGATTGTAGACTCCTAAATTGATAGTGAAGTTTGTTTAGGCAATTTTACAGCAAACTAGCTACTTTACATGCAGATATAGTCTTTGGTATTATTGTGTGTAGCTACGTTTGCTAGCTAGCTACCTACCTAGTTAGCCAGCCCATAGACAGAGCATTGTGGATTTTGTAGTCGACTGGAGCTGCAACAGAATTCCAAAACGATCTTCCATGTTGCTACCAACCTTATTATAACACCAAAATGAAACATTTGTTTAAGGGTGTGTGAAATTTATGTAATGCAAAGCAACAATAGATTTTTGTTGGCCTGCTTGTGTTGAGCATACATAAGAGCACACAACAAGAACCAACACCTATTGTATGATATCATGTACAACGATAAACACTCTTCTCTCTCTGTTAGCACCATAGCAAGACACAATGGATCAGCCATCAGTACAACTTTAGTTGAAGATTTATTTCACATTTTAGTGCTACATTCCTCTTTACTCAAATCTAGGGAGCGTAGGTAGATCACGTTAGAAATTGTTTATGATAATCACACTTCATATCATCAATGTCCTAAGAATAAATCTTAATTTGGGTCTTATAGTATTAGCCTCAGCTGTTCAGTCATTTATGAGGCAACATTATGCCGTTTAAAAAGGTGTCCATTTCAATGTAAAAAAAAACAACATACAATGGCAAATATCGATTACAGTATGTCCCTCAAAAGGATCTTGTGGATCCTCTGAATTAATCACCTCTGTTCTCTAGGCTTAGTCACCAAAACAGAGGCAATGCAGTGACATTTCTTATAATAATTTACTTAATAATTTTCATTTAGTTAGTATAGAATGGTCTATGACATAAAATATTGATAATACTAATGTGAACTATATTTCATAGTATAAAATCCAATAAGGTAACTTTGATTAAAGTAAAAACACTTCATTTGTATGTATCACGATACTTAACATCCTGTGTGAATAAGATTGTGGATAAGAATGTGTCATTCAGTTCTGTTAAAAATAATGGCATTTATGCTAACCGAGATCTTCTCACAACACCATGATGTAAAGCACTGTCTGTCTGTCTCTAGCAACACATTACAGTGAATGTTTTTATAGTATGGGAGAACAATTTGACTTGGCCAATATGCCAGTGGGTAAATAAAAACTGCAAATCACTAGTGAATGGCCTTGCACTACATGTGTGATCAAACCATTTAGATGTTGTACGGTCTTAATCATGGAAATCATATCTAACCTAATGTAGGTTCAAAGTTTTAAAACAAACTTTATTTGGGGACCCTGGGAAAATATTAATAATTGTTTATATCTTTTGATGGGGGCTTGGCTTGAACAATCACAAACATCCTTGAGATATTATAAACTTATCAAATGTTCTGTATCTTCTTATGGCAGAAAAAAAAAAAAAAAAAACTCCTGTCGCGCCTTGTTCTCTCTCTTTCTCTGTGGTTCTTCTTAAGTAAAACATTTAAAATAAATGTAGAACGACAAAGAAACAAAACAAAAAAATAAAGCCGCATTCACATGCTAGTCGGAACTAGGAAACTCAGACATTTCTGACCTGCTAACTGGTTGTGGTTATACACGTGCCTCGTTCAACCAGTTAGCATGTCGGAAATTTCTGAGTTTCCTAGTTCTGATTAGCACATGAGCGCAGCATTATACCCAGAATCCACAGAGCTCTGCTGCGTCCCATCTAGCGCTTGGCTGCCACCGAAAAAAGTATAGCACCCCCGGTGTGTCTTGGAGGTCTCTAGTCCAGCTGTTCCTGTTTTATCCGGTTTGAGTTAGGCCCTCCTCTCTGGCCCGCCCTCCTCAGTTCCCTCCTCAGGACGTACTCGCTGAACTGGGATGAGTCCACGCCCCCACCACATGATCCGACGATCTCAAAGCCACGCTGCTGCAGACGCTCCAAGACCTTGTGGACACAAGGAGAGAAGGGGTGTTGAGGTAACATGATAGCTAACACTGTTTAGACGTTACACACAGAGAAACATTTAGCTGTCCTGACGAGAGGGGAGAGAGATGTTGAGAAACATAAAAAGTGTTTTCCTGTCACACAGAGAACCAATGCTCTTAACATCAGGTCAATCAGAGTTGGTAGTATTAAGTAGTTAGAAACAAACTCAATGACAACATGTGTCAACATGCGCCCAAGACTAGCACGAGATAGGAAGTGGCATTAGAGATGATAAAACCGAGAAGAACAGATTATATAGCAAAAGAATAATGACAAAGGACACAGATAAATGAAGGGGAATATATTGGAAGGGGACATCCATCCCTTCTTACCCAAAACCAAGAGCCTCTCATTCTCACTGCCTGACTTATTCTCATTGTTTGTAAGTGTGTGTATATCTCTCTGTGTGTGTGTATGTCTCTGTGTGTGTGCATGAGTCTCTGTGCATGTGTAGATTTTTCCCCGCAGCCTTGCAGACATCTACAGACGTGTCCCGAGGGCAGCAGGATCACATTCCATCAAAGAGGCCCCAGGGAGCAGTAGGGCCTTTCTCTCTCTCTCTCTCTCTGCCACTTGGTTCAGTGTGGGCTGCTCAGCACGCCCTTCTCTCCCCCAGCCCCAGGCCAGAGCCCCCGCCAGAACTACAAAGGTCCCCCCACTGCTGGCATCCTTCCCCCCACTGCTGGCAGTCTCTCCCCCCCCCCCTCCGCCCCACACCCTGCCTCCATTAGGCCCAGATACAGCACCCACCACCGGCGTGCTTTAATAACCAAACAGAATTATGGGCCCTGCCTCAGGACAACCTGCCATGGAGCAGAGTGGAGCTCTCTCTCCCACTCTCTCTCTCGGTCCCTCTCTCCACTGCATAAACTTGAGTGGTTTGTGTGTGTGTGTGTGTGTGTGTGTGTATGCGAGAGAGAAAAGCTTCCTGCAATATACAGTAAGAATGAGGAAACGTTGTCCTACATATTTAATAATGTTTCTGTGCTTTCATTTATTGATGCATCTCTGACTGAGACAATGGTTTCATCATAACTGATGAACATAAGGGGAACATTTATATCTAGCCTACTATACAACATCGATATTGGGTGAACATGGAGTTTCCTTAGAGTGGCCATGGCATGCGCGTGTGTCTGGTGTCCTCTGCCCTCACCTGGACGGAGTTGAGGTGGCAGTATCCATTGAGCGGGAAGCGGATTACGTGTGTGGAGTCGTGGTTCCAGCCTGCGTTGACAGAGTTGCACATGACGTCTCCGATCTCTGGGAACACGTCCTCGATGAGGGCTTTGTCTCCGCTCAGCGTGATCCTCTCTCCCAGGTCGGGTGCCACGCGCACCACCAGGCACTCGCAGGGGCGTGACACCCGGGCCAGGTCGCGGTCCTGGCGCCATCGCTCCAGCTCGGCCAGCATGGGCTGCAGCTGGAAGTACCGGGCCTCCTCGTACAGCAGACTGTAGTCCTGCAGGGGGCAGCACAGAGGGGACAGGTCAGTGAGGATAGGACAAGTCAGGCTGAGGCAAAGGATGTCTCAATACTGTATAATGGGTTTCTTATTTCCTTTCCTCCTTTGTCTCATCTCTTTCATATGGGTGAAAGAACTGTATGGGTTCCCAACACATTGCCTCCACTTCTATATCCTAGTAAAAGAGATGGCCAAACACAGGGGATGCTGGAAGAGTTCCATCCACCATAACAGGAATGAGAACAAAAAGGAATAATAGACATTCATACGAACAAACTGTGTGAAGACCAGGCAGGTATCTAGGCTACCAAAAACCCCACTGAGACCGTGTGGGATATCTTACCCATAGGACCGAGGGGCTTAATCGCACATTCCAATTTTTCTCAGACTCCTCAGTGTCACATCTGCGCATCTGTCAGGGTGAATTTGGCCTCGGTCTGAACTTGGGCTAGTCTTTCGTCTTTGCTTATTTTAGCTGATATACTTTCCCCCTGATTGAGTCACTGTGTGGACAGTCCATCAGATAATATGATTATTTGTTTTCTCTGGGGGCAAGTTTGTAATTAAGGGCTAAATGACGCAAAAAGCTAGCAAACAGAATACAAATGTATCACATACAGTGAGGATCAGTGACTCTTCTGGACACTCATACAACATACAGAAACATAGGGGGATAAGAATCAAGCAACAAATCTACTGCAAAACGAAGGTCTCTAACGCATGATGTCTTAAGATTACTTTATCTAGAAACACATAAGGTATAAAATCCTACTATTTCAGAACTTGTAACTCCACACAGTATGTAATCTGTCAGCACCAATCCTAGGGAGACCAAGTACTGAGGGTTGCCCATGACTAAGGTGTCCACTTTGTTCCCCTGAATGTTTGGGGACTAGTGATGGCTAGCTGATTGATTGCAGTGGAAGGGACAGTCAGACACTCACTTTGAAGTCGTCTGGGATGAGGAGCTTGGAGATCCTGAGGAAGTTGAGGATGTAGCGGAACATGTGTCCATCCCTGTCTATGAAGTAGTGCTGCTTCAGGCTGTCCAACACTATGGGCTCTGTGCCGTCGAAGAGACGCCCGATTCTAGAGGGAGAGAAAGAAAGGTGGAGACAGTTAGAAGGTGGAGAGAGAAAGATGTCTATAAACATATGACCTAGAGGCAAAAGCTTGATGACATTCTCGGTCGGTAATCTCGCCTGACGAAGACCTTTCGGTCAATGTGCATACAACAATGTGTAGATATTTGTTTTCCTTCAATATATCATTTGTTATAGGGCCAAACAAACTGCTGCTACTCTTGAGTTGAGCTGTTGAGCTATACATTTGAATTGACAGTACACCAGGTGTGGTTTTGAGCATAGGAAAAGATCACCTAATATGGCTACAGGACAGTGACTCATGTGCAGATTCTATGACTCACTAGATGTGGGTGTTTGATTTCTTTCACACCTTTGTTGAGTGATGCACACATTACTCTGCTCCATGCACAGAGAAAGAGAGTGGGAGAGATATAGGGAGGGAGAGAAAAACAGTGAGAGAGTGAGAGAGAAAGAAACAGACAGAGAGGAAGAGAGACATAAACAGAAGGAGAGAATGAGAGGGAAAGAAAATGGGAGAAATAAATGAATAGAGAAATGAAGCGGCATGGATGAGATGAGAGCTGTGCTGTGGTCTGATGGAGGGGTCAGGGCCAGCTGGTAGAGAGATGCCCGAGGCAGGATGGCGCCCTGGGGGCCCGGCCTCAGGCTGCAGAGTGGCCCTCCTGCCTCCAGATGGCCCCGCGCCCTTTGGCCTTTTACTGCTGCTGGGACATCTGTCAGATTAACTGAGATGCTTTTGTCTGCAGTTTGGACTTTTGAGCCCTGCAAATGTTTACTGCTCAAAATAACTCTGGGGCGGGCTTGAAAAATTGAGGCCATTTTGTATTTGGTATTGTGTGGAAATATTGTGACAATGGATAGTAATTGTAATCAGGGTATTGTAGAATAGCCTCAATAATCATAATATGAGTTTGAATGTGATTTTTTTTCTCTGTAATATCAAGCCCTGTGTTCAAATCCAATCTTTCCCACCTCATTCATCCATTTGAGTGCTGAATCATTGTGATTGGATGAACTTTGACACTTGTCTTTTCTGAGCTGTTAAATTATGACGTTAGGCAGTCCGAGAGCTAATCCAGATAAACACGGCTGACATGATGGGCTAGGCTACTAGCTACATCATCATCTCACTTTCAACCTCAATCATCCCAAACACCCTCTAGATCCACATATGAAGGTCTTTGATGAAAACACTGTGGCGTTGTGTACCTAAAAGGTACCAAAACAAAGACATATGTTTAGTAAATTATAATTGAGGAACTGCATCAATAGGAGAGTGGTCACATGTGCTTACCTGGACTCTGGGTACTTGGTTAACGTGGCCAGACTGCTGGTGTACATGTGTCCACCCACGTCAATGTGCACGGGGGCATTGGACTTGGTGAGCTGGGCGGCCGTCGGGATGCCCTGGTTACTCAAGGGGGATGCTGGTGATCTGGTGATCATGGGCCTGGACATGCTGGAACGGTTATCCTGTCACAAACAAGTAGACAAATCATATTAATGATTATCAATATGCTGGACAGTACAGATTGAATCGAGAAGCCATGAAAATGATCTGTTCATAATATGGATGTAAATGTGCATTTTTCCATTGGTAAATGTGCACCAGTTAAAAAACATTGCAAGACTGATTGGCCAGACAATATTCTCCTCATCATTCTGAAAAAGTTATGGTCAAATAGTTGGCTAAGGTCCAACTCTTCTGTTCTGTCAGGACTGAGAGAATAGATGTCGCTGAGTTACACTAGCATAGTATTTCCTGACCTTGACTTGAATGATACCAACCACAACCCTCCATATCTGTTGGGCATAATCATCTTCCAAAGCCAAATTAATTTGGAACAGCAATTTCACACATACCGAAAAGAGCAATAATCAGTCTAGATTTGAATAATGTAATAAGATTTAGAATAAATGTTCCCTGCTAACCTAAAAACACAATTAGCTGGCAATAATTTCTAATGGAACACAGAACAAATTGAGTTTCTCAATCAATCACAAATTCAAGACCCTCCTCTGAGCCAATAAGAAAATAAAACAGGTCCATCTCTACACAATAATATGAAAACACTGTCATTGGAGGAAGAAATGTAATGTTATAATTTTTATTAAGTAGTAATTACACAGGGAATTGCAAAACCTTAATGGAAAAATCGGGATTAAATCTAGAATGATATTTGCTCTGCTGAACCGATTTTATCAATGTGGGAAAATGCATACAAAACAATTTGGCATTGATGATATTCACATCAAATAAATATCCAACAACTTCCACTGTTGATGGGTAGGCACTAGGCAGTCGACATCAAACAAAGCCCCTACAATGAAGTGTAGCCATGTCATGTCGCAAGTAATTTGACAACCGAAGTTTGCTGCAACGAATTGGACTAAATCTCCATTAGCCTACCTGCGCTGACAAAACTGTGGCTGGCGAGGAAGACACAGAATAATCATTCTGCTTCAGTGATGCTGCAGGTAAGGGGTCGCCTCTTGAGTATATGAACGGAGCGTCCCCGCATTCCGCCGTTCGCATTGAGATTCGTTTCAGGGACGCTTGTACTACGGACTCATCCACAGAACTGATTGGACGCGGGCGTTTTCTCGTTTTCTGATGCGTTAAATCCATGATATCCGTTGCGTCCATTATCAAACCTGGCGCACGAAAAACAGGCTTCAAGTTGGAGATGCTGTCTGTTTCCACCTGCAGACTCCGGAGATCCGTGAATGGGTGGAAGCAGCACACACAAGAGCGATGCTGTGGCAGTCACTGCCGCTTTTGCAATGGTTGTATGGATAAGTCAAAGCCCCGGACAACATTAGCATTCTAGTGCCTCAGGGTTTCTAGGGTTGTCGTTGTTATAAAAAGCAGGTATTGTCGCATTTACTGTTTGTCTGCTAAAAGGTGTAGCATATTCTATATAAATCAGACATCAGATTCAAGATTGGACCACCCCAAAAGCGCAGGTATATCCACGACGCACACCTGGATTTGCGCCCTCGCCTTTGCCCTTTCTATTTCCTCCCGTCATCCTTTGTTCCAGCTGCCTCTCAAGCACTAACATAGGCTGAACATTGCTTTTCAATCTAGCCTGAATCAGAAACTAAACCTTGTCCAGAAGTCTGGCAACAAGTCCTTGGTGAAAATACAAAACTCACAGTAACACTAACAGTGCAGTGTTCAGTGACTAACCAAATGACATTAAAACACAGTAGATAGCAGTTAATTTTTTGTTCACGAAAAAAAATAAGAAAAATAATAACAGTTTCATCTAAAACATGCACACACACTAGCCCCCAGGGTGTTGGTGACCCTGGATGAACCTTTCCATAGACCCTTTTAGTCTCTGTAGCACACCATCTCAAGACCTGTTTACTCACATAAAGCTGACACATAGTATTCTCCCAGAACAATGGGCCATATTCAGGAGGGCTAAGATTGTGGTGGAGATTTTAAGAGCAAATGAAAACAGTGACCCTCCCACCCATTTTACATAAACTAGCAGGATCCTGATGTGTAACTGTTGTGGATACATTTCTACTTTGTTTCACAATGACGTGTCTGTGATGGGCTTTTCTTTAGTCTTATCTCATTAATACTTATGTCCAGGTGCCCTTCTTACAAGTAGTCAGGTACCTACCATTCTCACAGCCAAAAAAACAGCTCCCCGTATAAAGCATTATGGTCTTGGTCTATACCAGAAATATGCAGACTTCAAAGTCACTTCTAGATCTAATCTAATGGCCAATCAGAGAGCCACAGGCAATTATTATTCTCTTTCAAAAAGAGGAATAAAACATGTCCAAAGATTACAACAGATCATAATATGATACCTTTGAATCCACAACATCAGACCTCTTATTGTAGCGTATACAGAATCCCAAGAAACAACATGCATGTTAGATTCATGTTGGAAGTCTTGGGTTATTTTCCCAAAACATTCAGGAAATCCAATCCACTCATTTTAAATAAGTTAAAATTGAATAAATTAATTAAAAACAACCACAACTGGCATTAAAACATCCATGTTTTTACTTCTCTGTTTTGGCAGTGTGGGTTTCACACCTAGATACCCAATTAGCAATTAAGCCTGCCTTTGAGTGCAGGCCTCAACTGTGGCGTGTGATCCTGCCCTGATTTGCATGCAGTTCGTTTGTGCACGAGCTGATAAGCGCAGGCAGACAGCCGCCATGCATAGTTTTAAAATTCAACTCCAGAATCCCTCTCGCAGAAGGCAGAGGGGCCCGCGGGGTGAACAAAGAGGAAGAAACCACACGGCCGCTCTTCAAAAGGGGGACCTGTGTAAGGCAGCCAGCAAAGTGCGTGAGATCACACTCAGAATGCAGGTAATTTGTTCCCCGACTAATTTGTGGGAGATGGTGTGTGTGGAGAAAGTAAGTCCTGTAAACCAGCTCGCTGGAATTGGCTTTCCTCAAAGCCTTGTCATCATGAAAGTGGATGGAGTGGAGAATCTGCTAAGAATCATGAAAGTGTGTGTAGGTATGTGTGTGTGTGTGCACCATGGAGCGAGGGAGATAGAACGGGAGCATGGGATTGAGTACTTGTAGCACAACTACTTCATGCCAAATCAAATTAAAACCATGTCCTGCGGATTATTTTTCAGGTCGACTACTCCTACCTTCAAACAGCAGGAGCACCTTTCAACTCATACAGTACAAATCTAAAACTCATGTCTACTGTGGCATGGACCACCAGTATGATTATGTCTAGCTATGACCCAGAATACTGAGGTGATAAGATCATCAGTAGAACCTGACAAGCAACACACTGCAAAGCACCGATAGAGCACAGACTCCATGATGGCGCAATGCTGTGGGTGGCCTGACACAATACACCCATTCCTTTCATCCCGTTTCCTTTCAGAACTGCTGCAGTCAGTCTTCCCACCTGTTGCCATTTTGAATAATGTAGGCCTACCACATAGCTATGTGTATACAAAACACATGCTCTACCATTTGTTAGTGGTTCAATGTTCCCTTGCTACACAAGTTCCTACATTTATACTGCAAGAACACACTAAACAAATTTAAAATTGCTCTGTCTCAAGTGACTTGCTTGTTTACCCTAGTCTGGTGTAATTGTGTTGACCGCATCCACACCCCAACCTGTTCAAACAAATCTGGAGTTGGCACAATGGATCAAAGCTTTTGTTGTCGGACTAAACTCAGTTTCGGTGTTTAGTTTTCAACAAATACTTTACATGGTGTGTGTGGAACAAACATTGTTAACAATGTAACAAGGCTACATGCACAAGAAGGAATTTCGTAGGAATATTTTTCCTCCCCCATCAAGTCCTAAAACTTTTAAACATGTAATGATCCAATAATGGGTGTAGCGTCAGCACTCTAAGAAGCCCTTAATTTCCCATAGTGCAACTGTACCTTGTAATTTGGAACACTTTATACACTTGGCATTTCAAATCAGGCCATTTACACCAAGTCACAGGTAGTCACTAGTCAAGTGTTTACAGAATCAGGATGGCAGTTGTGTCCACTTTTTTGCCTATGGCCATTTTTAAAAAGGTGCCCATTGCACATTTGGAGATCCTCTCAGGTGAGACAAGAAGTGAGAAGCACATTACTCAAGTAGTAACTGCTTGGAAACATATTGCACTTACTATGAGAGGGAAAATGTTGAATACTAACATTACTTATTTATATAGTTCTAATTGGGGATACAAATCATAACCATGTCTGTTCACGACTAAATTCTGTACATAAGTGGACACCATTAAATGCAATGTGAGACATGGTGCCCTTTTAAGCACAGATGCCAATGTTGCTCTTGTCATAACAGCGCCCTCCAGTGAACGCTCCTACAGCCACGCATTTTACTCAAAAGTAAGGAATACTTCACTGTTCCAACATCTGCGCGCGTTTTACTTTCTGGCATTAAAATGGCACGTAATCACATTCACTGCACTAGTGTGCCTTGGTCAGAATTAAATAATTACATGGTGGATGTCGTAAAGAAGCACATAAACATATGTGTAAACTTGTAGGATAGCCGTACAAATATGTTACCAGCAGCCTGTATACTGTTGGATGTAGATTGGCAAATGGCAATTAGAAGTTCAAAAAAGTTGCATAGTGTGTTCATTGTGTCCATATCCATTGTGGCCACATCCTGATGCGCAAGCATAGATCATACTAGTAGGCTAATTTATTACACAAACAATGTAAAATGTGAATTTGTACACTGATAATACTAACCATATATATCATGTTTTGTCTCCATAACATCACAGCTACAAAGATGCAAACATAGATCCAGACTTCCGCCCGGGAGTTTAATTATTTGCAGTGGCGCGTCTGTACCGTGGAATTCCCTGCGCACGGGTATAGGTCAGCCCCGCAAGAGATCTATATGGGAAGCAAAAGGAAAATACTGTAGCCTACATTTTCTCTTGGTTTACATAGATAGGGTTATCGTTACAAAATGACGGCGAATACAAAGACATTATTCACAGAATCTGCATTGACGTGTGTTGAATAGGTACGTCCTGTCTTACAAAATAAGAAAACCCCTCCGGCAAAATTACTCCACAATGGCGTCTTTCATTAGCCAGATCTGGGGCACTAAGGAAATGAAACTGGTTTAGAACAAACGAATATAGGAAAAGCCTATCGAAATGCCTATAATATGTTTGTAATAAGAGTGTGTGACAAGAAGTCCGACGGGGAAAACGGAGACAATAATGTGTTAGGGGCTGAAGTAGGCTAATGCGCCAGGAGCGAATTCACACGGGCGGATAGCTACGGTGTTTGCTCACCGAAGGTCGTACAATTCGGTGAAAATAAAAATAAGCATTTGAAGCCAGTCGTTGGCACTTTAACAAACATACAGTTGTTAAACACCGAACAACATCCAGGAAGTGGTTAAATATTTTGTTAGAACTATGGTGCTCATCGCCTGGCACATGCGTAAAAGCGGCTGCGCCTTGAATGTCCCAGTCAAACCAGCTTCGGAAATATTAGCAAACCAAATAAATCTCCGCTTACCTGAAACATGGATGGGCATAAAGTATATTTTTGAGAACCCCTTCTCTCCGATTTCGCTGCGAGCTGCTTCCCTTCCTACACTGGTGAGAAATGCAATAGCTTGGCTAAGGTAGACAGAACAAAATACAGAGAGTACTTGCTCCAGGGCTCCGAAACCCCTCAAGGCAAAGATCAGGATACAATTAGCTCATGTCTCTACCCCAGTCTAAACCAATCTCCACAATAAAACTCCGAGCTAAAGAGCAGATCACTTACAGCAGTGCGTCCGCCTTTCTGGAAAATGTATTTTATATTTCTTCATAAAATCGTATAAAGATATCTTGCTGTTTTTTCGGCATACAACATCCTCACTCCTGCCGCCAACTAGCCTATTGCCTTCCTCTCGCACAGAAACGCTGATTTTAATCGTTATGATTAGTTTTGATGTAACATTCCCGCGGGCGATTTCTGCAAATGGATGTAGTGTTTCTTTGCCAGGGAGGAAAAGCAGCAGATGATGATAATTATATAGATTGTTGGTTGAGTCTTTCTTTATTTTTTTTATTCCAAACGTGTGTCTTCTAAGATCTGGAGCGCTAACATAAATGGAAACAGCATGTGCATCACACAACTAGTTGATTACAATCAACTTTTTTTAATCAATGGATTCTAATGGAAAATCGACACTTCCTTTTTTATTTTTTTCCTTTGGCCAACCTCCCAAATGACGTAGTTATATAAATAAGCACTTGCAGCCTGCTTTGCCCCAATCAAGTCTGAATCAGCGCCCGGGGCTCATGCACGAGCTCATTTCAAACGTTCAACCATGCATCATTTCAGGAAGATTGAGGCTCTTAAGCTTTTAGTTTCAAACTGCGGGATATTGACAGCAAATGGCATTGTGCCATCTGAGTGAAGTTCTTCCTTTCATTGATTTGTATATAATGCAGAACATTACATGTTTATGTAACCTGGGTGTACAATAATTTAAATGATATCCTTATCTTTTACATGGCTTTTCCCTATAACAGAGACACATGCCATATATAACTTATTCACCCTACATTTTAGAATGAGAGAACTATGTTCAACAGTGAACCAGTTTATTTGAATCCCATCTACTGCTCTTGAACCGTAGACATTAAAACCAGTGTTAAACCCCCTCCCAGTTTACAAATAAGCACAATAATAAAATAAACATTCTTCCATTCTCTCTCTCGCCCCCTGCTGTTAAAAGCACTAGTTGCTCTGAATAGGGAATACAAGGATCTCACATCTATGCAAATCTATTCACCATCATAGGTTACAGAATAATATGCGTTAATTGCTCCATAACCGCAGCAGAAATGTTAACTGATGTTGATGTTCATCTGCTGTGTCTGTCCTTCCTGAAAGAAGCTATTCAAAACTCAAATGAGAAGAAAGGATGAATACAGCTGTGTAACTAGTGCTTGACACATCATGGCTGAAAGTCATAAGAATAGTATTGCTTGAAGATAGATATAGATATATTTATAAGATAGATATATTTATGTTAAAGCAGGTGCCTTTTCAGTAAAAGTTTTCCATGTACTCAAACATGCTAGATGTGAGCATCATACTATTGGGTTGTTCCACCTCAAAAGCACAAAAAATGGACACCCACCATCTCAGATTGTTCTGAAATCGTTTCTGTAGTCATTAACAAATACGATTAGCATTCCTGAAACATTTCTGAGAAATTAAACTAATTGATTGCACCCAAATTGACCATTTTAATTTATAGGATTCAGATAATATTCAATAAATATAGTACCCAAATGGACCAAATTTCCTCCTACCAATGAGTATAACACGAAGGAATCCCCAAAAAATGTCAAAAGCCACCCATGGAACCCCCACACCCCATGCCAATCCCACCCCAACAACCAGTATACAGTATCAGTTCTCTAAGTTTGACAAGTAGTATGAAGCTGGCTTGTAGTATTGCTTCTCCATACTATGTAATTCATTCCTTGTGATTCTGGAGATGTTTTTTTTCCCCTCTTCAGAGAAATTAGTCATTGAAGTCGCTTGTATTATTTACCATAATGTAGTGTGAAAGTACCAGGTTTTGACCACTAGATGCTGCGGTTCCTGCTATACCGCCACACTCTTTGTTTTATCCATTTTGCTGGTCTCTTGTGTTTATTAAATAGATCACAACATTTATTTAGCAAATTTGGGTAGAAAACCAATAGATTTGGCTCATTATGAAAATAAATTGTGGCGGTATAGCAGGAACAGCTGCATCTAGTTGTCAAAACCTGGTACTCTCACACTACTTTATGGTAAATAATGCAAGTGACTTCAATGACTAATTTCTCTGAACAGGGGAAAAGAACGCAGCATCATACTACTTGTCAAACTTAGAGAACCGATACTGTATACTTGTTGTTGGGGTTGGATTGGCATGGGGTGTCCGTGGGTGGCTTTTGACAATTTTTGGGGGATTCCTCAGGTCTGACTCATTGGTAGGAGAAGGTTGGTCCAAATCAGATGTTGGGGACTATATTAAGTTAATATTATCTGAATCATATAAATTAAAATGCCAATTTGGGTGCAATCAATTAACTTAATTTCTCAAAGCTAAAATTATATTTCAACAAACTAATGTTTCAGGAATGTCAATCTTACCTGTTTCTAACTACAGAAACGATTTCAGAACCATATGAGATGGTGGGTGTCATGGCTTGCTGAAATGACATGGAAAAACTAAGAATTTAGGAAACAAGAGAACCACATTATCCAGGATCATTCATAGTGTGACCCCTCATAGCCATTCCCTCAGGCTGTACCAAGGGTACATTACCAACTGTAGCAAGTTGGCCACTGACCAACTCTGAGGGTCGGTTTCTCAGACACCGACCCCACACCCCATAACTGCTAAAAAAAATAGTTTTGTTGATCAAACAAGTCACTTATTTTCTTTGCCAGAGATGACTTTTGAGGAAGGGCCAGGGCCAGGGCCAGCTATCCTTAGACCATTCAGAGCACAGGGGCCTTTTTAACTTTCCACTGTTTGACCAATGTATCCCATGGGAAAACAAACACAGGATTAAAGTGTTACGATGGAGTTATTTGCCCCGGAGGTTGCCGGCTGGTGCACAAACACCAAGCCTAGCATTTGCTATTTTCCCCGTCCTCCTGCAATCTTTTTTATTTTTTATCTTTGCCATCAGGCTGACAAACTGTAGCAAAACTGAGAGCACCCCAGGCCTCAAAATCGTATACGTTCCCCATTTTCCACACAAATGGAGCCAAGTCATAATGGGGCCCTCCCGATTCAGTATTCAAGATATGCATTAGATGTTGTAGAAACGAAAACCAGTTAGCCAGTGGTGATTTTTGAATACGCTTGCTTGGTGTTCGGGGGCCAAAAACAAGTCCATCGTTCTAATACTGTGGTTGTGGGATGTGTTTAACTTGGAAAGGAACCTAGCTGCTGCAGCAGCAACAGCAGGAGAGCTCTGTCAGAGCTATATTTTGGTGGGCAAATTAGTGAAATGGCTTGCAGATGTGATTCGCCCCAAACAGACCCAGCCAGGCGACAGTGCCTGATGACATCATGCCCGTGGTTATTATACATGCGTACACTGTATGGAGGCTTGAGTTACTTTCCAACTTTCTGGAAAACAGGATTCAACTGAGACACAGTTATACAAAGCCATGGTTTATTTATGTCTGTATATTCATTGTATTTCACAATTAATTTATATTTATCAGTTATTCCCTGTTTGAGACGGATGGCTCTCTTTATTATTCTGGTTCTTCACAAGATTTATTTATCCTCCTCTCTAAACATTGAGAGTTTTTGCTATAGGTGAATTACTCATAGCTTCTGGATGTGTCATCAGTAAGAAGTTAATTTGTGCTTCTTCTTGCATCTTCAGTTCAGACTAGTGTGTACTGAGTAGTGGTGGCTTGATATCCATATCCTCGGTCAATATGTCCATGGCTCTATCGTTCTATGACTCTCTGTTAGATGCCAGCTCTCCCCATAGTTCTAATTAACTCAATCACACAGTGGATACAGTTATCCTCATTCAGAACATACTGAGAGATCTTGCTGTTATGTTGCCTCGGACCATGTTAATGACTCTTGCTGTGCACACCACACCCCTGTAATGGCCCGTGGTTATGTAAGGGAGTGGGCTGGATAGGGAGAGGGTTGCGATTGTTCCAGAATCTGACTCAATCTGCCCTACGGCCATGTATAGTTTAGGGCTGCCTGCAGTTTATCATCACATAGTATTTTTGGCACTGGGATACATAACTTTTGAAGGAAGGCTCTGTAGCTGCTAGCTTGTTTTGGTAAAGCGAACTGTGCATTTGGCTTATGTTGGGATTGGTACCATCAATGGTAATACCTATAATGAAGAACAAATGAAATAACCTTATGACTTGCATCTGTATGAAAATGTTATATTTTGTTTAGCCCTCATTATGGTTTCGATAGTGGAATATACAAGATATATCATAGTAAAGGAATACACATAGCAGCATACCGCCATTACAGTGAGGTAGCCCTCAGATAGATGCTAGGCAGGTGCTCACTGCTCAGACAGACTGAACAACTTTGTGAAGATAGGAGTGGTTCTATCTTCACGAATACTCTTATCTTATCACAACTACATCCATACATCCGTTCCTTCCCATCCCAAACCCAGCCATACAGCCACCTCACCCACAGTGGATAGAAGACGTAATGACACCGCAATAAGAGGAAGAGAGGAGAGATGAGGAGAAGGGAGGCTGTTTGGGTAATGCTGGGAGGCTTCAATAAAATGTAATCCTATTATATGGTTCCCACTAGAGGGCAACAATAATAAAGGTTTCCCTAATAACACGGCAGTGCAGGCCAGACCCAAATGGAAAACAGGTCCTCCGGTGAAGTCCCATAGTCCTACATATATCGTCTCATTAGCTAAATGGCTGATGGGCCACGGTTCACCTCCGAGGCCTCTGAGATTTGGCCGTCGTGATGGCAATGGAAGAGTTAAGCCAAACAAATGTGTTTCATCAAACTAGAGTTTGGGCTGTTCTGCATAGAGGGAATGGGGGATGAATGAGGAAGGGCTGAAGGAGAGAAGGAGTGCGGGAATGTGGAGGTGGGAACTGAGAGAAACCAAGCCCTGAGGAAACCAATCAGAGCTTCTCCACCCTCTTCCTGTCGCTAAGCCACCGGGGTCTCAGGTGTGCACTACACAGGCTAATAGTGCTTAAAGTTGATTGTTTGTGTGTTAGTGTAGTCTGGGTTTTGTAAATTACCATTTTGGAAAATGAAAGTCCAATCACTGACAAATTAACAAAATTGCAATGCGAGAGAGGTACAACAACACAACAACAACAAAGATAACTGTAGCAAAACTGTCCAAGGATAACAACTCTCGTTATGTTCATTCTGTAAGTTGCTGTATGAGCTACAGGATAAACATGAGGTGTACTCTATCCTAGACATGAGAGGTGTACTCTCTATCCTAAATGTGAGGTGTACTCTGTATCCTAGACATGTGAGGTGTACTCTGTATCCTAGACATGTGAGGTGTACTCTCTATCCTAGATGTGAGGTGTACTCTCTATCCGAGATGTGAGTTGTACTCTCTA